CCCTCTTCCTCGAGGTCCCCCACGCGTCTCCCCCGGCCCCGCTCCCCTCCCTGCGCCGGGCGCTTCCCTCCAGAGCCGTCGGGACCCCCAAAAGCAACTTATTGTGAAAGCCACCCGCGCTGCCACCGTGACTCCCAGCCTCCTTTTAGAGCGAGGAGCCTAGCAGAGGTTAAACGCTAGTGGAACCTTCTGTGAGGCAAAGAAAGAAAGTCTGGCTTTTTCTTTTGTAAGAGATGGAGACAAATAAAGACTTTATATGCTGCCAGTTGCACCTCAGAGTTGAAAGAGAGGTAAGGTTTGTTATTAGAGAGAAACGATGCCCGGGAGCAGCTGGCGAGGGCAGCCTGAGCCCCTGACAGGGGCAAAAGCAGGTCGATCTGGCAAGGTGATAAACGCGCAGGTGGCTGGGAGAAGGGGAACGTAACCGCAGCGCTGCTCCAAAAAAGCACAAGCATCTGCTGTTCTAGGAGCTCTTATTTGTCCCCAAACACAGAACAAGGTGATTTGCCTGTGCTGAGGGAAACAACTTTAAAAGGGCTTATTAGGGGGAGGGGAGGAGGGACCAAAAACCTAGTAAGACGTTGTCCAAAGCGCACAGCAACAGCGGTCACATTTTCCAAAGAAAACACTCATCGCGAGCAGCCCCGTTTCTTGAGGCTCCAGGTCTGCTTTTCAGAAGCACTGGCCGTTCAGGCCTCCCACTGATTTAATCTGGAACTGCAGAGCCGCTGCCCCTCTGAAGAACGAGGCCAGAGGCACCATACCGCACGGGTCACCCAAGCCAGCTGCTTATTTTTTCTATTATAGAAGTTTACTAAGAGCAACACTTACAGAAATAGCCTAATAGCCTCAAGAGCTCCAGCAGAGGCAGGAGGGCTGCTGGTTAGAACATAAGTTCTGACTCACAATTCAGTTTTCTGGATGTAACCAAAAAAAAAAAAAAAAATAGGAACAGCAGCAAAGAACAGGGTAGAGATAAAGGAAAGTTATAAGGAAAGGCAGTGAAATAGCTGAACTGATTTCCCTGCTTGCTGCAGGAAGTTTTTTTTGCTTTTGCTGTAACGCTGATGAAAGAAAACAAGGCCACTAGCAGGCGAGGATGTTAAGACATCTGGACCCACGTTAGGTTTTCTGATGCCGGATTCCTTGGAACAACGCCCGTGGCTGAATGATACATTTGAAAGTGCTAAATTGTACCTGCTATTAATTCACAATGGTGGGAAAACCTCTTCACCCAAATAGAGAGCAGCACTTGGAAGCCAAAGATTGTTTTTTCTGAACCCATTGTCAATAAAAAACTACAAATAAGAATATAAAACGTCACGAAAATTGGATGCTTAGGGGTGTAGCCTGGAAGGATATTTGAATAATTTATCTTCTCTGTTATCCTAAAATATAGCCTGGGTGAAAGCCTGGAAAAAGAGCAAGTAACATCCCCGACTTCTCCCCAGCTCCGATCTCGTAGCGAAAGCGGCGCCAGGGCCGAGGTGGCTGCACAGAACCCAAGAGCCCGTGCAGGTAGGACAGTTCTTCACCAGATGTCTTAAAACACAGCGCTCTAATTTTAGAATCCGACCTTCAGCAGCTTCCCTTATGACAGCTATTCTGGCCTTTCCACTGCAAAATAATCACATCACTGGTGGCTAAACATCTTGAACAAGGACAGAATTCGAAACACACAATATGATTAAAACCTACATTATCACTGATGTAATATCCCAGAACCTATTACTGTTCTTGGGCAGCAGGAAAGAATCTAATTAAATGCTTGTTTAATATTAAATATACAAACTCAAATATCAATGTCGGACAGTAATTCAGCAATGTGCCAACTAGCAAATATATATCATTGATGAAGAAAATCACATACGTGCATGAACGCAGCTTGGGTTCGGGTTCGAAGCTCATAACTGCAATGGGAACACTGACAGGCCTCTAAAACCAAACTAGCAAGCTTTAAAAAGTAACTTTGGTTAAGTAGTTACAGTCCTGGAGTGTCAGCTGGAGTCCAGAAGTTCACTGGGAGACAGGATGGCTACTGTCTGCCCCAAGAATCCTGGTACTTACTGTACCAAAACATTACTCCCTGCAACTGTCGGGGGGCCCAATCATTTAGAGCAATATTTTACTAACATAGCCAGTGGCAACGAAACTAGCAAAGCATATACCAATTTGCAGCCAGCCTGACATAATGAAAATATCACTCCTAGTTACTAAAAACAAGCGAAAAGCACTCCTTACAAATCAACATCCTCCGAAATCGCTGAAGCAGAAGCGCAACAAAAGGGACTGCCGAATTACACACCGCTCCCCGAGGCCGCAGTGAAACGGTGCTCAGCCTTCTCCCACTGCCACCCCGTACGCCACGCGCCTCCTGCGGCGGGCACGAAACACACGGCTATGTCAGGTCTTATTCTCCACGAGTCGCTCATCGAACTGCTTTTCCTGGTGCAGATCTCCTTTGTGTTCTTGGGACAGAGACAACTGGGGAAATTTATCAAAGCCAAAGCAGAAACATGAAACTGTGCGTTTGCCAGAGTACAGTGATTCCCCAAGGGGAAACGTGGCAGGAGGTGGGGGAGATTGATTTTCTGAGGAGTGATTATAAAGATAATTATTTTTTAATTACTCCAAACAGAATTTTAAAAGGCAAATAACAAACGAAGGCAACAGAGAAAAGACCAAGAGAGACAGCGAGGAAAAACAGAGAAAGTTTTCATGCTCAGGACTTACGTAAGAAGCCTCTGCTGCAGGGTGGGACAGATGAAAAAAAACGCAACACCCCCGACCCTTCCCTGTTGCAAGTCTTCCATTTTTCAGTATCATGCAGCAAAAGAGCAACATCTTCCCCAAAATGCTGAAGAGCTATTTTCAAGTCAGAGGTGCTGAATATGTTCCACCTGGTTGATAAACTGAGGTTTTTTACCGAAATTGATATTCTGAAGGAAAATAAAATATGGAATAGCACAGCATTTTTAGGTAATTAATATATTTTAACCCTAAAATATTTACCCTTGAATCCATTTGGCTCTGTTCTAGTCTCACCTTACAGTACAGAGAAAAAGGTTGTCTTTTTTTTTTTTTTTTTTTTTTTTTACAAAAATGTATTTATTTTCTTCAGTCCAATGATACATTTATACAGAAAGTTACTTAAATAGCATCCAGTTTGCAGATATGTATTTAAAGTGTCACAATGAAAAATATCCATGTCACATGGTTTAAATTACAAGCATTTAGCATAAACTGGTAGTTATCTTTAACACAGGTGATTCATGTTGCCTTCTGCATAATAGAAAAGTTCAAAATTTCCTATTAACTACTATTTACAACATACCAC